CCAAAAAAGGTCAGATAAGGTAAGAGATATAGCAACAAATGAACCACATTCCTGTTGGATTAAAATTCCACTCCCAAAGAGGAAAAATATAGCATTAGGGCTATACTGGGAACTTTCTGAGTAGAGTGCTGATGGTAAATATACCACTCAGAGGAAGTGCTGAGAGGCTATGGCGGCAGAAAGCCGAGAAATAAAGGGAGATCCAGTTATAGCCACGTTGAATGCAAGCCATGACTAGGAGAGTTGCAGAAACTGCATTTTAGCCACTCTAAATGACTGCTTTTTGGAGAAACTAACCAGAAAACCAACAAAAGGAGAAATACCAGTTCAGAAAGTTTCTTTGGAAAGGCCACTCAGCAAAAAAATAACCATGACGTACCCATATCAAATATTCTTTCAGGACTGAAATAATCCACAACAGTAATACTTAACTTAAGAGAGAAAGTGAGGAATGCTATTAAAAAGAAATTTAAAAGAGTAACCAAAAAGGTTAAATGCTTGAGGCAGCATGAAGATTGTTTAAAGATGCTATATTAGAGTCTCAGGGAAAATGCACCTAACAAAATAAAGACATTTAAAACATCGAAAAAGTCACCCTAGTTAAAAGGTGCATTAAAGGAAAATATTAAAGGAAACAGCCTTCAAAAACTGGAAGTCAGCAATTTTTCAATTATTAACGAGTGAATAACCTATCATTTAAAATTGAACATAGCAACAGAGGAATGGAAAGTAGTAACTGCGAACCTTTTAAAGAGCTCCTGGAAAACTACAAACCAGTCAGCCTTATTTCCATACTGAACAGACTGGTAGAAGCAAACAGAGAGTAAAATGATTAGATGCATAAATAACTATAATCATAATGCTGAAGACTCAGCATGTTTTTGTGGAAAGAAGCCATGCCTCAAAAGCCTCTTGCAGTTCTTTGAAGGAGGCAGCAAGCACACGGATGCATCCGATCTGCTTGATGCTGGATACTGGAATTTTCAAAGAGATTTTGACACAGCCATTCAGCAAGGACTCTTAGAAAAATTATGTGATCAGGGAGGACAAAACAAGGTCTTCCCGAGGAGTGACAGTTGATTAAAGCTGGGATACAACTGCTAGCAATAGTTTTAATTTACCCACTGGAAGCCCACAGGTTTTGTGCTGGGATTGCTGCTGTTCAACATATTCAGAAAAGTCCTGGAAAGTGGTAGAAACAGCTCCTGACAAAATTATCGTGGGTGGTCAAAGGAAAACTGGATAACCAGAAGCTGCAAGAGGATTTTATGGTATGGGGTGAATAAGTGACAAAATGTTGGACAAAATTCAACGGCAATAAATTCAAACTGTTGCAAAGCCCCTGATGGTGTCTGTGTACTGATGAGTTCTCAGATATTAACACTTAGGAAAGAGGCCAGGGCTCCCACAGACAGTTCCAAAAAATGATCACCTCAGTGTCAGCGCTAGTCAAAAAGGCAAACAGCAGACTGGGAACTGCCCGAACGGGGACAGAGGAAAAGACCAAAGTCGCCATACTACTACAGTGCTAAAGCGGAGCGGGTGGGCATGTCTTGACCACTTCACGCAGTTCTGGTCACTTTGTCTCACGAAAGATAGACGTTATGATTAAAGGTACGGATGTTCTCCTGCATGAGAAATAGCTGAACAGCCGAGGATACTTCAGCTGGAGAAGAGCTGATTCACATGAGGGATTATCACAGAGGAGGACAAAATCAGGGATGCAGTCAAGACAATAAATAGGAAACAGTGATTTACTGTTTTGCCGGTTATGGGAATTTGGGGGCATCAAACAGGATTATCTAGCAGTAAGTCTAATGTAAAAACAACGGATCACTTCTTCACACAAAACATAAGTTAAACTGCATAACCCATTGCCAGAGTGTATCGTGGGGGCCAGCCATGGTGGGAAAAAATTCCCCTATGGCAAATCGAACAAAAAGAAGCACACACAACATAAAACCCTGGAGGTTCTGAAACCTCTGATCCTTCCACACAAGATTGTTGAACTGTAAAACCTGCCACTGGGTAAGAACACTCTTACCCTCTTTCCTGGATCACCCCGAGACTCTTGGATCCACCCTGGATCTTTGGCCTCATTCTCACTCTTTGAATCTAGCTTTCCCATCTGCAGGGAGAGCAATCTAAATATCTGCTACACTAGGTACAGTACCAGGCTGCAGTATAGCCATTGCAGATTTCCTGATTTTTTTCCTGCAGGAGTGTTTCTGACCACTGTTGAACAAATTCCACAAAGAGAGACCGTTTCTTTTAGTTCAGAACACCATAGGCTTACTGGGACAGCAGAGAATTAGAGATAAGACCCTACTCAACTGAAGCATTATCTTCCAGAGCTCCAGAAGTTTCAGCTCTACTGAGATCTACAGAAAGAGAGCACATGGCAGACCCACATCCCTGCCCCAGAACAGCAGAGGGACGAACTGACCCAGAGAACCGAATCTGCGTTTTGGGCAATACCCCGACGCTGGGCCACAGGCAAGTCATCCTCCAGCTGGTGGAAGGAGACCAATGTATTGCCAGGGCACCAAATTCACAGAAATATCAGAACAGTCTGTCCTGGGGAGTTGCGTTGTTTGTGAAGGATAATATGATGTGCAACAGCATGAAAATATTGTGGGAAAGATCTGTAGGTGGAAACCTCAGCGTCCAGTAATAAAGATATTGTATAAGAACAGTGTCCTCACCCTCTGCTCAGAACAGTGATGTGGTCAGACAATGTTAACTGAGATTACAGAGGCTGCAAAATTGGGACAGGTAGTAATAGTGGGAGATTTCATCCACTGCCATACATACTAGGTTAATGCTTCACTGGGATGAGCTGTGGAGAAAAACTTTTTGGAAGCAATAAATGACTGCTTGCCAGAATTAACCAGTCTAAATTGTTTGACCCACAAGAAAAGATGTTTTTCAGGATGTGGTCTGGAATGATGCGTAAGACTCGGTTCCAGAGGTAGAAGTGGAAAAACTCATTTGTAATAACGCTCACAACATAATTAACTCTGTAGTGGGAGAGAGCAATCTAAATAAATGTGGCATGTGGATATTCAATTTCAAGAAAGGTAACTATGTACAAATGCAGCAATTAATCAAAAAAAAGCTGAAAAGGTGCAGTGCAAAAAACCCAAGATGACTACAGCTTGTAGATTGTTCACATACGCTGTTGAGAAATTGGTGGGCCCATCTGAGACCTATGGGCCAAAAGGGGCATTCAGTGGTGGCAAGACCACAGCAGAGAACCTCAGTGAATTTTTTTCCATCCATTGCTAACGCTGGTGACACCGACACGTGTTTCACTCCTGCGTGAGTGGCCAGGGCCACTGCACAGGCTGCTTTGCTGGGGACAGGGAGGTTTCCAAAATGATCTCACCTACAGAACGGGCTCTGGATGTAATCTGGAGGCGCGCTGACCTCCCACTCTGCGACATGGCCCAGTGTGCTGTGAAGAACACGGTCACTGATGGCATGGAGAAGCACAGCCTCTTGGAAGAAGGTCAGCAGGGCCACTAACACAAGCCCTGGCTCACAGACTGGCTGGAGTTCAGCAAGGGAGCCAGAGAGCACGTGGATAAAGGGACCAGTCAACCACCTATCTCTGGGTTTTCAAACAGCCTTTGACAAGGTTCTGCACCAAAGCTTTTTAAGAAACTAAGTTGCCATGGGCATGGAGGAAAGGTCTTGCTAGGAACAGACAGCTGGAGAAAGCGCAGGATGCAGGGTAGGGCTTAATGGTCATTCTTCAGCATGGGTAAGGGTCAGCAGTGAGGCCCCAGAGACTGGTGCTCGGATGGTTTTCATCCTCTCGGCGACCTCAGGCATGGAGGGGAGCAGGGAAAACCCCAGGTTTGCAGAGGATCCTCAATTCCTTCAGGTGGTTGAGTACTTCACCGAAGGTGAGGAAATCCAGAAGAACCTCACAGAACTGAGCAAGCAGACAAATGTGAGGCAGATGACCTTCAGTGTAGGAAAACATGGTGTACCCACAGGGAAAAATGATCTGTCTCAGGCCTGTGTGACACTGAACCTGTAAGGGCTCAGGAAGGAGCTCAGCATCATCATCAGCAGTTCTCTGAGATCATCAGCTCAGTGTGCAGTGGCAGCTGAAACATGCGATGAATGCTGGCCACTGTCAGCACGGGTGATAATAACAAAGCAGAGGGCATCACCGTGACCATCTGGAACACCTTGGTGCAGCCACATCTTGGGGGCTGTGTGCGGTTCTGGTCTCTGCATCTCAAGAAGGACATGGAATCATAGAATCATTAAGGTTGGAAAAGACCTCAAGGATCATCAAGTCCAACCGTCACCCCAACACCACCTAACTCACTCCATAGTCTCCACTTGAGAGAAGAAAAGGCAGGGAGTGTGGATAAGATGAAGGCTTAGGAAACTGTGAAAGCAATGACTTAGCTGAATGCAAGACAGCTATTTTACCAACCTGCAGCACTAGAACTAGGGGAACTTCCTGAAATTAGTAGGAGAATGGTTTCGAACAGACGAGTTAGGGCAAATTCACAGACAATAGATACAGAACGGGCACTGACGGAATAAGCTGGGATGTCCACAAGGATTGTGCATGATGTGGGAGAACAAGGGGGATGGACCACAGGCAGCTGCTCTCCCTAAACAGGATCAGCTGGAGACAGAATCTAGGCTAGGTGGAGTATCATCTCACCTGGTAAAACATTTTTTACATTTTTAAGAAATGAAGCGATACTCATAGACAGATGTGTCCTCAGGAAGTGTCAGTGTTGGCAGACACGCAGTTGAGGCTATCTGAAAGCCAAACAGCAAGGTAAGAGCAAGAGGATGAAGCAGAAGAAGGTAAAGCACCAAAATGAAACCTGACATTGATAAGGTGAAATGAAGAGGAAAAACAGTGTATTATTATCATGGAGAAAAAAAAGAAGAGCTCCCTTATTCACTATTTTGGTAATGAATATTTTCTCAGTGTCACCAGTCTTTGTCACAGTATGTCTTACCTGTATGTACCAGCAAGAACTTGATCACAATCAATCAGGATAAACTTCTCCAGAACCTGGCCTGCAAATTTCTTGCCTGCTTTGCTGTAGTATGTGTCTCCACTCAGACATCTGATGCGCATGTTCTGAAACGAAAGCAAGCAGAGTTAGGAAGGGGACACGTATTGAAGAAAACAGAAATGTTCCCTTATCCATCATCAACGGACTCCCTCAAGCAGGAGCTCTGCTCCCAGATGCAGAATGCAGTGAGGCATTAAGTGTTTCCTGGCTTCTGCATACCAAATATTTTGTCACACTGTTTTCTGCAAGAGAAAAACACCAGCAAATATGAACAAGTTGCACTTAGGTTCAAATGCTGTTTTGAAAAAAATTTGGAGAATCCTATGAGCCTACAGATCATTTCTCAAGTATGTCAGACTATACAGTTTCTTCCAGATTATCGATAATATCCAACTAACCACGCTAGTGGATGGCTCTGCATTTAAACTAAGTTTTGACCCATAACAACTAGCCAGTTTCTAATCAGCCAAATGTGCTGTTCTGATTTTATACAGCAACAAGCTTCTTAAACCCCAAATATCACACAATAGAAAAGATTTACAGAAAGGTGTGTCTACATTTCAGAACTGCCTTTTATCTGTATGTTTAAAAATTATATTACAATTTTCAGCTGCAGTACTCAAGTGAAACAGACGTGATCCTCATCTGTTTTGAACTTCTCTGAAAACTGACTGTACAGAACGGGGATGAAGGCTCTCAGTGTCCATCAGGAGCCTTTTTCATCATGTGAGGTTTCTGTCCATAATAAAAGTTGTTCACACCCGAGCTGGGGAAGGCAGAAGGGAACAGTCACTGGAAAGAGTTACTGGCCTGGTCTGTACCATATGGTGCCAAACAAAACATCTCGTATGGAAACACACATCCCCCCCGGCTGCACCTATGCTGGCCACCTCATCCCTCCCTGCCCTCCAGGCCACGGCTTGGGTACACCAGGAGCTGTCACAAACTGTCACCACCTGCCCTTGGCCCAGCAGATCCCTTTGTGGGCAGCTCACCCCTGTCTAGCATCAGCCCTGCAAAAGGCGAAGACCCCCAGCTGTCGGTACGGCTGCACAGGCCACCGGGGCCATTTCGTCTCTTGGTGGAG